TATCATCGCGTTCAAGATAATCTCAATAATTTCATTATGTATCAAGATCTTATCTGCCTTGTACACGCGTTGCTTATCGCGTTATCCGATACAAAAAGGAATAATCTTCACATTTTATCATATTTAAAACAATAAATACTAAATAACTTTTATATTTTTTATTTAAAATATATAATTTAAAAAACTTTATTTAGACCCATTTAAAACTCTGTCTCGTTTTAAAGCCAAAAAGAGACAGAGATAGAAAGAGTTTTAAGCCTCGCTTAAAATTAAAGTAACGTTGGTGCAACCGGGTCTTAACTCTTAGTACATAAAGAGAGAAACCTGGGAAGGGACGTGACGGCACTGTAACCGCAAAATGCTGTCGCTATTGCCCTCTGACAAAGTGGATGTAAATTACATAGCAACGTCCACTTTTCAAGACGGGAGATAATAAATCGATATTTGGTTCATATAACGTAAGGTTATGTTCAAAAATAATAATTTGCACAAAGAAAATTATTCAATCACATTTTACGTGCGATTTTATAAAAGAAATGCGATTGGATAATTTTCTTTATGCATATTTTTATACGATTATGCAAGTTTGTATTAATAAACCCTGATCATGCATTTGTTTCTTTTTTCAGAAGACTGAGGAATCTTACAAGTTACTAAAGAAAACAAGATTAGATAACACTATCACAAACCGAATTTATATAGTTCAACGCACAATTTTCAACAACATCATTCCTAGTTATTCTTTCGCTGTGTGCTAATATACTGATTTTCGAGATGAATCGAAACGTGGAACCTCTGGATCCATCTAAAATAAATATCACATCAAGAACATTACATCAACCGTCTCTTGACGAGCTAATAAATGGTAATAATAAAGCGCTCTGAACTCGCGATAAGAAATCACAGCTGGCAATAATTATATAATATTTTTATTATAATCATAGTCCTAGCAGAAGGATTGACTGCAAATTTTGCGGAGGCTACTGTCGAGATGGCTGATTGTCCTAATTTTAGTGGATGGCCTTACAATTTTTATCGAGAAGGTATCAGAAAAGCAACAGATATAAGATACACTTGACCTTTCTCCAAATTTTATATTTTTTACTATCTCTTCAGGTTTGTGTGGTAATCCGATTCTTTTGGAAGTTGGTGGTCCAGCATATCTTCTACCAACTGTCCAGACAGACAAATTCTATGATGTTAAGTCGTTACTGCGACAGATAAATTACAATTATGATACTCTTGTCATTGGTGCAGGAGCTGGACCTTGGCCACATACAGGTTGCAATTGTGAGGTGTGTATTAATTAAATTATTTTGATGAAATGAATAATCTGCTCTAATTTAAAAGAAAGAGAAAGTAAATATTTGTACAATATTTATTTCAGCTTATTATGAAGTTGAACGTAGTAAACAATAAAGTCTCGCCAGGGTATAGACTTGGCATGGGAGTGGCGAATGGAACGCATTATGCATTTGTAAATAAGTCTAATGGAGAGTGCATCCTTGAACGGATAGTTGCTAATGAGGATGAAACAACTTTTGCATTGTTGGCTAATCTGTATGTGTGTGAAGGCAAACCGGGGAAAGTTATAAAGGTGCGCGCTAAAAAACGTACGGGCAACCTAGACTTCATATCGTGTATGCAGAAAGCATTGGCAAAACATTATGAGGATAAGCTCGTAGGTAAGTCTATCACAAACTATTATATATAATAAAAATATATTATATATTATATATAATTAAACAATTCACTACTCGACTGATTGTCGAATATCTGTAAACTTAGGTTTAGGTGGCATGTTCGAAGTAAAAAATGGAAAAGTAAAGCAGCATATTATGCCAACCTTTTCGGAAACTCCGTTGACTAGCGAGACCCAGCTTAATAATTGGTTACGTTTCTACGATATGAAGACTCCTCTGATAGCTGTTGGCACATTTGTTAGCGCCGAAACAGTAAGCTTTAGAGATTCAATACATATGATAAGAAATTATTATATTTATCTTCAAACTATGAAAGCAACAATCTATAAATTTATATCAAACCATTATTCATTTCTATTTTATTGTGAATTTGAATATTCGTTGCTTCTGTCTTTCAGGATTTAGATCTCAGGGTCCAGCATTTTCATAGTGCTTTTGATGAGAACAGATTGGGTGGACATTATCATATTGATACAACACCAGATACGATCGAGTACGAAGGCTACTTCAATGTGGCAGCTACGCTTTATCGTGTCGATCAACCGCCCAATAAATTACAGTTTGGGAAAGATTAACTTTGTATATATTGTTACATGTATATGTATATTGTTACAAGTTGGATTTTATGAAATAACTTTTATATTGTTGAAATTGCCGTGAACAGCAAAAGAAAATATGTTGATAATATATTTTGTTAGAATTTATACAAATTTATATATATATATTTTAACATTCCTCTTTATGATTAAGAAATAAACATAAAAATAAATATGATTTTGAAATAAATAAATATGCATATGATAAATTAATAATCCTATTTCCTTGTAAAATTGATTCGTAATTCATGGATAAATTATTTACGTATATACTATAAAGAAATATATTATAATAAAATTGTCTTCCTTCAATTTTGATAAATTTTGAGAATTTAATTTATATTTTTATTATATAATATAACAGATGTAAAATGGCATTCTAATCTATGTGTAATGAATTGATTTTAACAACAAATAAAGTAAATATTCATAGAAAATAAGGCAAAACTTATCATGTTGACTCCTTAGTAGATCAATCTTTTTAGCAGATTGCAATGGAATAAAATTCACGATGCCTTCTATTTAGATACTACTCTTAACTATTTACGCACATAAATCTAATATAAAATTTCATCAATTCGACAAATTCAAAATTAATTTAAGATCTCTCAAAATTGTTCCGAACCTCACAACACATATTATTGTTCCGAAATATTATTAATGTTGACCGACCTTATGATCTTATATTTTTGTTTTGCCTTTTTCTGTCATGTTTCGATGGAAGATTACGGTTTATCAAAGTGCTTTATGTGATTATTGTTTCTACGGATTAAATAAAAAACCACTTCATTATCTATATTAATATAATATAAGCAGGTTATAATTATATCATTCGTATCGCAATTATAGTTTAGTGAGAGTTAATTGCACTATACAAATTGGTAAATGATGTATTAAGTATGTAAGTGATGTATTTAGCATGTGACTCATTTTTTTCATCGTATTAGAATATACGCGAAATATACTTTAATAAATTTATGTATGCAGTATAACTATTTTTCTGAACAATACTGATAGACTTAAAAACACAATTACAATTGATTCACTTCAATATTTCGATTACTAATATATACCACTTTTCTAATATAAATATATCATATAACTTTCTTTTATATAAATTATAGATTCTATATTATGGTGGATCTAACTATACCAATAGATTTGTATGTACCTGACAAAACTGAACTAGCTATAGGTATACACATAATATTGTATAATTGTAGATTATTGATGTAGATTATATATGAAGAGCATGATATCACGCAATGTTTATTTCCTGCATTTTTTTATTATTTGTATTTCAATAAAATTATTATTATGTATTTTTTTATAATAGTTTTGCAGAATGAGTTGAGTACAGATTTTGAAGAAGTTAAAGTCGAATGGGTGGATTGTCCTGATTTGACTCAGGAACCTTTCAATCTCGCAGCACCAGGTGAAAGATTTATTATGTATCTATATATAAAGATGCACCTAAATTATCAAGCATAATTTCGAATTTCAATCGTGAGCTGAATATGTGTCTATAAAAGAATCGAATCACTGGAGCTGTTCAGCTCTTTTGAAGAATTTCGGCTTAATAATCTGCATATTGCATCTTAATATTTTCCGTAAAATAAAATATAAAGTATGTATATTTATAGGATTATGCGGCGATACAGCACTTTTAGATATCGGTGGTATCTGGAATCTTTTTCCTTTTCCAATAAAAGACAAAATAATTTACTTTCAAAGTATCTTAGAAAAACTTGATCGCACCCAAAGTGATAACTTAATCATCGGAGGAGGTCTTCGTACGGAGCGACCAACTAATTTATTAGGCGAGGTATGTATTGCTTATATTTCTATGAAACATTAAACACATTAATTTCTGTGTTTTCTTTAATTTATATCTTAGTCTTAAGTTAGTTATTTTCTCATTAAGTTAGTGTTATCTTTAATTTTGTTTCTACTTTAAACCTGTTATTTGATTTTGTTGTTTTATGATCATTTCTCACAAAACATTATTTTATAGTTAATTATGAACGTATTAATCTCACCGGCAGCGAATGAAACGATGACAGTCAAGAATAAAAGTCGCTTCGCGTTAATAAAACTAATACAAAACCGAAAACATTTTTCATTGAAATTCGTAACTGACCCTAATCCTTATTGCAATATATACGGGAACTTCTTCATCAGCAAAGGTTTGCGAGAACAAGTTCTCAAAATACATGTTAAGCATCGCACCGGTCGTGACTTTATAGTTTCACTGCAGCACGCAATTAAACGATTTTCAAAATGTTCACAACTCATGGGTAAGAAGTAAACTATTCATGTACACACACACGCGCGCGCGCACACACACATATATATATACATATATAAAGAAATATTATGTAAGACTATGCTCCTC